TTACCCTGGCTTTTGCTAATTTCCCAGTTCTGGTTCAGCCTTGTGTTCGGTGTACAGGGTTCATGTCCAGTTGTGTCCATGTGTGTGTGTGTATGTGTGTCTATCAAAACGGGCAAGATGGCAATTGTGGCACTACCTCCATCACCCATCCAAGATGTTACTGTCGGTTCCCTTTTGCTGAAAATGCCACAATCTGCCATTGAATTGTCTCTTTCCATTTTTCTTTCCAATGGCTTGTGTACTTTTTTTCTTCCTTAGGAATTAAAACCTCACATTTTCACAGTAGCAGAAGAAAGCTACCGAAACGTCCAGAGCCAGATTCCATTAGTCAATCAGTCCATCATTGTTAGTGGGGAAAGCGGTGCTGGTAAGGTAAGCTGAGATCTCTTTAAAATTGCTTTGGGGAAATTTGGCATGCTCATTTCTGGCTGAATCGACCTACATGTTTGTGTGACCAGCAGATTTTTATTTATTTTTTTGGGACCGGCCTTCCGAAGGTTGCCACCTTAACCTACTTTTCCACGTTAGAAATTAAGATCTTTTTGTTTCATCCATTTCCAGTTTTGATTCGGATGGAATCCGTTTGTTCTTGCATCTGCTTAACTGTAGTTACTGAATCGGGATTAAAGAGAGAATCCAGATCCTGTTAAAGATGGTGCTTGATTCAAACCCGGAAGGGCTCTGCTCCTCTCTAATGTGGGAAGATGCAGAATTGGCCATTTTGTGTAATTTGTAACTGGGCATGGGGGATCAAATGGTAAAAAGTGCCTGAGGATGACACCCCACAAATGCCACCCTTTCCATGTTTGAGCCTGATGTCAGAACTACCACTAGGGTAGGGATAGGCAACCTTGGCTCTTTTATGACTCGTGGACTTCAACTCCCAGAATTCCTGAGCAGCCATGCTGAGGAGAAAGGGAGAGGTTTCCATGCTGAGCCATGCTGGCTCAGGAATTCTGGGAGTTGAAGTCCACGAGTCATAAAAGAGCCAAGGTTGCCTACCCCTGGTATAGGGCATCATTTACATGACAGTGTCACCACTCAGGTTATGATCACTTCCACATCATCATAGTTTGTCACTGCTGCCACAGATGCTACAAAACATTAAATAGCATTGCCCCATAATCCTCTACCATTCTACCATTCAAATAAAAAAATGTTTGCTGGAATTGGGTATGTCCAGATTAATGAAGAGAAGGACAAGGGTTGACAGGATAGCAGTCTTCCAACATCTGAGGGGCTGCCACAAAGAAGAGGGAGTCAAGCTATTCTCCAAAGCACCGGAAGGCAGGACAAGAAGCAACGGATGGAAACTAATCAAGGAGAGAAGCAACCTAGAACTAAGGAGAAATTTTGTGACTGTTAGAACAATTAACCAGTGGAACAACCTGCTTCCAGAAGCGGTGAATGCTCCAACACTGGAAGTTTTTAAGAAGAGATTAGACAACCATGTGTCTGAAATGGTATAGAGCAGGGGTGTCAAACTGCCGGCCCACAGGTCGGATACATCATAGCAAAACCACGCCTACCCCATTGCCGGCAATGTCAAAAAAGTCACAATACATCGCGACACGTCACATGACATTGCGAGGTTGACACCCCTGGTATAGAGTCTCTGGCCTGAGCGGGAGGTGGACTTGAAGACCTCCAAGGTCCCTTCCAACTATTCTATTCTGTTCTATTCTACTCTACTCTACTCTACTCTGTTCTCTGAGACAGGTGAACCACTTCCCCATATCACAACTGAGCCCAAAATTTCCACTGCCTAAGCAAGGCCGTTGTTAACTGAATGTCTCCCATTTTACAACCTTTCTGGTTAAGTGAATCACTGCAGTTGTTAAATTAGTCACACGGTTGTTAAGTGATAATCCGATGACTTCCCCATTGACGTTTTGCTTGTCGGCAGGTCACAAAAGGTGATCACATGACCCCCCGGGACACTGCAACCATCATAAATACATGCCAGTTGCAAAGCACCTGGAATTTGATCATGTGACCACGGGGATGCTGCAACAGTCATGAATGTGAAAAACAATAATAAGTCTCTTTTTCCAGTGCTGTTGTAACTTCAAATGATCACTAAATGAATGGTTGTAAGTTGAGGGCTACCTGTAATATATTTCCTTACTCTCTATTACAGGGGTCCCCAACCCCTGGGCCACGGCCTGTTACCGGACTGTGGCCCATTCAGAACTGGGCTGCAGTAGCGGTGAGCAGGCATACTTGCATGTGAACTTTCACTTGCATGAATAGCGGGCGGGCGCGTTCACATATGAAGTTACATTTGTGCAAACGGCAGGTGTGTACACATACTACACGCACGGAACTATCTCCTCTTCTCCCCACCGGTCCATCAAGCCAAGGGGATAGATGGGGAATTCATCAAATTTGCAGACGACACCAAGCTGGCAGGAATAGCTAACACTCCAGAAGACAGGCTTAGGATACAGGAGGATCTGGACAGACTTGAACACTGGGTGCTATCTAACAAAATGAAATTCAATGGTGAAAAAAGTAAGGTTCTACATTTAGGCAAGAAAAACCAAATGCACAGGTATAGTATAAGTGGTACCTTGCTCAATAGTAGTAACTGTGAGAGGGACCTCAGAGTCCTAGTGGACAATCACTTAAATAGGAGCCAGCAGTGTGCTGCAGCTGCCAAAAAAGCCAACCCAGAGCTGGGCTGCATTAACAGAGGGATAGAATCAAGATCACGTGAAGTGTTAATACCACTTTACAAGGCCTTGGTAAGGCCATACTTGGAATACTGCATCCAATTTTGGTCACCACGATATAAAAAAGATGCTGAGACTCTAGAAAGAGTACAGAGAAGAGCAACAAAGATGATTAGGGGACTGGAGGCTAAAACATATAAGGAACGGTTGCTGGAATTGGGTATGTCTAGTTTAACGAAGAGAAGGGCGAGGGGGGACATGATAGCAGTGTTCCAATATCTCAGGGGCTGCCACAAAGAAGAGGGAGTCAAGCTATTCTCCAAAGCGCCTGAAGGCAGGAGAAGAAGCAACGGATGGAAACTAATCAAGGAGAGAAGCAACCTAGAACTAAGGAGAAACTTCCTGACAGTGAGAACAATTGACCAGTGGAACAACCTGCCTCCAGAAGTGGTAAATGCTCCAACACTGGAAGTTTTTAATAAAGTTGGAAGGGACCTTGGAGGTCATCTAGTCCAACCCCCTGCTCAGGCAGGAACCCTACACCATTTCAGACAAATGGCTGTCCAGTCTCTTCTTAAAAACCTCCAGTGTTGGAGCATTCACCGCTTCTGGAGGCAGGTTGTTCCACTGGTATAGTGGTACAGGGTTTCCTGCCTGAGCAGGTGGTTGGACTAGATGACCTCCAAGGTCCCTTCCAACTTTATTATTATTATTATCAGCCAGAAAGGTTGGGGACCGCTGCCCTATTAGACCTTGTCAAAACTGCCTTTGTCTTGTTTCTGAGATATTATAAGTGGTGAGAGAAATCAGTGGCTGATATTCAGGGGTCTCTTTCTAGACATGGACCTCCCGCTGCCTGATGAAGTTTTATGCGACTGTTGCAGCTTCCCCTGACCTCCCAGAAGGCAGTATATCGGTGGAGAGGATAGAGCAACGCGTGTTGGATTCCAATCCTGTCATGGAAGCTTTTGGTAAAGATGATCTTTTTAATAAACAAAATGTTTGCTCTAGCCCAGGGGTAGGCAACCTTGGCTCTTTTATGACTCGTGGACTTCAACTCCCAGAATTCCTGAGCCAGCCATGCTGAGGGGAAAGGGAGAGGTTTCCATGCTGAGCCAGGCCGGCTCAGGAATTCTGGGAGTTGAAGTCCACGAGTCATAAAAGAACCAAGGTTGCCTACCCCTGCGCTAGCCAATAGAACCATCCAACTCAAATAAACCATCAATCTAATCCAATGCTTTTCAAGCTTGGTGACTTTAAGATGGGTGGACTTCAAGTCCCAGAATTCCCCATGTTGGCTGGGGAATTCTGGGAGTTGTAGCCTACCTGTCTTAAACTCTAGTCTGTTCAAACCATCCCAGACCATAGGTATTCGTAGCAAGATGAAGTTTCATCAAACGTGCTTTGTGATGTGATTGAACAAGCCTTGTTCTTTTGTATCTTGTGTGCAGCATTGTAACGTAAAGATAAAATTTGTTTGTTTGTTTTTTTGAAACAAATTTTATTGGTTTTTTAATTCTTAAGACAAAGTGCTCGAGACACACCGTGGTGCTGGGGTAATCAAAAATCCAAAGATAAAATATATATAGATAACTCAATCAGTACATCAAAATATTCCCTCTCTATTTCCCTCAACTAGCTTAATATATTTAAAATAGTCCATTTCTAACTTAAATTTCTATTAATCCTAAACCTGTTTTAGAGCTTTATGAAATTACAATACCATAATCAAATTTAACTTTAAATAAACACATTATCAGTTCAGGTATCCCTTCCAGATATATTCTAATTCCTTAATTTTATCATAAGTCTTATTTATTTCTTCTTCCACTAATATCTCCTAATTAAAATAAAATACTGATCTATCCTGTGCATATCTAATCCATCCATCAATCAATTTCTTTAAGCTAACAGAATAATATCAACCTTAAATCATTTAAGTCCATTAAACAAGATTCTAATTTCATCCAATTAATTATCATAGCTAATAACATCCATATTATCAAACAAACACATCATCTTGTTACAATAACATTCAATTAAATGGTATAGGGTTTCCTGCCTGAGCAGGGGGTTGGACTAGATGACCTTCAAGGTCCCTTCCAACTTTTTTATTATTATTATTATTATTATTATTATTATTATTATTATTATTATTATTATTATTATTATTATTATTATTAGTTCAATCCCAATCTAAAACACCTCTTCAGTTTTCTTCATTCCATTACATAATAGTTTTCATACAAATAAACCTATTATTCCAAAAAATGCATTCTTAATCTATTTAATCTATTTCAATATATATATATATATAAAATTTGTATTGCAGCCTGTGTGGCTCCGATACCTGTGAAAAAGCAGAAACTTACTTCTTTGTTTAAAAATACTGCTCAAGGCATAGTTCTTGCCTTTAGTTCTTCCAGCTAATTATGAAGTCAGACATACCAAAAGTAAAGTTGCCTAAAACCAATCATGAATAAAAAAAGTGAGATTGGGTTTCCACATTGCCCTAAGCTACATTTTTGTGAAAAAAAACAAAACAAAAAAACCCCACAACTGGTTGATTTACACAAGGCACTAAATTATAAATAGGAGTGGCCACATTTGGGGACCTTCAGGGCCCCAAGATGTAAAGCAATTAAACTAATTGGGTAAAACTGGTTTGGGAGATGGAGACATTTTTTTTAATTTATATATTAGTCCACTTTTGAGCCTTGCATTACTTTCCTGCCTTGAATAGTGAGAATTGGTACTATCTATTTTCAGCATTATTAGCTACACCAGACATGTCAAACACAAGGCCCCGGGGCCGGATGCGGCCCGCGAAGTGGTTTCATGTGGCCCGTGAAGCCATCCTGGAAACAAACAGTGAGGGAACGGCCCCCTCTGCCTTGGCCCTGGCCCAGGCCTGCCGGAGGGAGCCAATGTACAATTTTGTGGTGGCCATCTATGCTGAAACGCATTCAGTCTTAGCTCCACAAGGCCGTCCGGAAACAGTGAGGAACCAGCCCCTGCCATGTCGGCCCCGCCCCCTGGGTGCATGCTGGGGAGGTGTCACTCTTTGTGAGGAATGAAGAAATGGACCATGCCTTGGCGCTTGCCCCGGTCCCACCCCCTTCTGCCAGAGACCCTCAGATCTGTCCCACTCCTGCCCAGGCCCCCACAGGCACCCTTGACGCGAACGATGTAGAGCTGGCCATGCCCACCCAGTAGGCCACACCCACTCCCTCCACACCCACCCAGTAGGCCACACCCACCCTGGCCACACCCACCCGGCCCCCCGGAGGGCAACCACAATGCTGATGCGGCTCTCAATGAAATTGAGTTTGACACCCCTGAGCTACACTATAGAAGAAACAGAATCTTAAGCTATACATACACACACATACAGACAGACACACACTGAATGAATGAATGAATGAATGAATGAATGAATGAATGAATCACAGCAAAGTTTACATGCATGCTATGTCAAATTCCCTTGCATATTAGCATAATGTCTGAACTCTCTTTTACATTAATTCATACCTCCTTTAACCTTTGTGATAGACACATGTGGCTTGCATAATGCCAGTTTTTGTTAATTTCACAGGAAACGCATGCACCCTTCGGAATAACAACAGCAGCCGCTTTGGGAAATACATCCAACTTCACTTAAATAGGTACTGTCTGCTCCTTCACCTAGTGATATTCTCTTTAGACTTACTGCACTGATCAAGTTTCAGAGTCAAGGTTAAAAAGATAAATTCTCCTTTGAGTCTCCCGTTCACCTCCTGGTGATCTTAAGCATTTCTTCCAGGACTTTTAAATTATTATTTTTTTAAAAAAAAAAGTTAATGGATTTGAACTCCAATTCAATCTGAAGCTCTGGAAAATATCTTTGTAAGAAGCCATACAGGTGGTCCCCAATTTATGACCCAGACTGCAACTGGATTGCTGGTTTTAAATCATTACAGTCATAAGTCAAGGGACTCATGTGATCAGACTGGATTTTATGATACTTTTTGCAGTGGGCATTAAGCAATTCACTGTGGGTGTGAAGCAAATCCACAATCGTTATATGGATGCTGCTGTCATAAGTATGAAGCCATTCTTCCAAACAGGTGGTTTTTTTGCCAGAAACCGGCATAAAAAATGCTAGAAACTGACCCCCCCCAAAAAAGATCACAAGGTCACATGATTGTGGCGCATTGCATCTGATCATAAAGGCACACTGGTTGCCAAGTGCCCAAAATATGGTCACATGACTGCTGTGGAAGGTAGTACATTTCAGGATGGCCATAAATGCTTTAAGACAGAGGTCCCCAACCTCTTGGGCACCAGGGACTGGTTCCGTGGAGAGAGATTTTTCCGTGGACCGGAAAGGGCGTGGTTTTGTGTACTGCCTGCATCCCGTGGATGGGGCTTTGCTTGTTTGTGCGGACCGGTTGCTGGCATGCCGTGGCCTGGTACCGGTCCACGTACTGGGGTTTAGGAGCCACAAAGCACCATTCCATGCCTGTAATAATTTCAAACAATCCTAAAGCCACCAGTTGTAAGTCGAGGACTGCCTTATTCTGGGCAAGGATTTTATTACGCATTGCATCCAGGGGTTGGATCAAAACAGGCAAGACCACCAATGCGGCATTAAGGTAGAAGGGTGGAGCTTGCATCACACCTGGCATCCTGTCTATTTTGAATGCCCATCAGATCTGTTGAGACTACGTTTCTCAGAATCCTTAGCTATTATGGCCATTGACTGGAAGATTCTTGAAGTTATAATCCTTGCTTTTTGCTATCCATTGGGTTGGGACAGCCTGTGTGTGAAAGAAAGGTCTTTGGGGATAGAATGGGGAATGTAATTTTGCTGCTCCTCCACTGTTCCTAGAGCAGGGCTTTTCAACCAGTGGTACAGGTACCACCTGTGGTACATTGGCACCTGGCAGGTGGTACGTGACCATCCTAGAAAAGTAGTAGCAGGGAAGGGGAATGAGCTGAACCGGTGGCAGCACCGCACAAGCCTGAGCGAGAGATAGCTGGAGCTGCAGGGCTGTCAGGGCTCAGCGGAAGTGCCAGGATCAGCGCTTCTTCGGGACTGTCAGGGCTCAGTGGAAGCACCAGGATCAGCGCCAGGCTCCAGCTGGAGCTCGGCGCTGATCCTGGCGCTTCTGCTGAGCCCAAAAGAAGCGCCAATCAGCTGGAATGTTGCAGCATCTCCAGGGTCTTGTGATTTACATTCAGATGCTTGGCAACTGATTCATATTTATGACGGTCACAGTGTCCCAGGGTCATGTGAAGTGACCAAAACCTGCTGCAACCACCCAGCAGATGGGGGGAATAAAAACCAAACACCACCCCACCCCACCCCCATTGCCAATCCTCAACAGAAATGCTCACAACAATGAAAACCTCGGACAGGAGGAAGAGCGCCACCGGGCGCTGTCTTGTTCGGCTGTGGCTTGGGAGGCACTTTTTTCAGTGCCATTGTAACTTCGAACAGTCACTAAGTGAACTGTTGTAAGTTGAGGACTACCTGTACTTTATCATTTTTTCCCTTTTTTTTTTGGTCATCAAGTTTTTGACACCTTGCTAGGCGACTGGTGGTAACCGGATGTTGCCATATCCTAAAAGTGGTACAATGGGTGAAAAAGGTTGAAAAGCCCTGTCCTAGAGTCTATGAATTTAATTTTAAACTACCATTTCTGCAGATCTCAGCTTTTAACAAGTGCATCCATTCAGACTTTTCTTCTGGAGAAAACGAGAGTTGCCTATCAAGCCCCTCAGGAAAGGAATTTCCATATTTTTTACCAGGTTTGTGTTTCTGTTGTGTTGGTTTAATGTGAATCAATAACTTCCTTTTTTAAAAAATTTGTGTGCGCATAAAGATGCCCGGAAAATAGTTTCTGCTTGGTTGCTGAGGGTCACAATATGAGAAATATCCTTTTTTTAACAGAATAATCTGTTTGCTTCAATTGCCAAGCTGTTTTTCTTACTTTCCAGATCGCAAAAGGAGCCACGCTGGATGAGCGCCAAGAATGGGATCTTCTGGAGAGTGCACAATTCTGTTGGCTTCCAAATTCTGAAAAGACTCTAGAAGGTAGCATTTGAAAGCCCAGATCTTGTAAAGACCCTCTTAGGTGTCTTTAAAAAAAAAGGAAGAAATTGACTACAAGCCTAAATAAATAAAATGTAGTGTAATTAATAATATTTCAAGTTGAATTGTTATTATAGAAAAGAGGAGTAGATGAAAAAATGATGGAACAAATTCTGAGATTAGCATTCAAACAAAGACAATAAGGAACTCCTGTTGCCTTTTTTTTTTTAACTCTCAAACATCCACTTGAAATAATAATAATAATGATAAAGTTGGAAGGCACCTTGGAGGTCATCTAGTCCAATCCCCTGCTCAGGTAGGAAACCCTATACCATTTCGGAAAAATGATTTTTATATCATTTCTGAGGCACTTCGGTAGGATTATTTCATTAGAGCTTAATCCCCCAGCAAGTGCTTGGGATTTTCGTTTGCTTTTAGAAAATTTATTTATTTATTAAGAAAATTTATATGGCTGCCCAACTCACTCTGAGTGACTCCGGGCAGCTTACAAGGATAAAAACCCAATGGGAAAACCAATAATCCCCCCACACCCCCATTTCTTTCAAATGTCATGGTTCCAATAGATGAAACTCTTCAAAGAATTTCGAGGCATTGTTTACCTTAAAGAATCTATTTGAGAAGCATAGCATTGGCATGTAACGCCGCTGCTGCGCGAGCTGCACTGGTTGCCAGTGGCCTTCCGGGTACGCTTTAAGGTGTTAGTTACCACCTTTAAAGCGCTCCATGGCATAGGACCTGGATACCTCCGAGACCGCCTTCTGCCACAGATTCCCTCCCACAGACCGGTACGCTCCCACAGAGCGGGCCTCCTCAGGGTGCCGTCGGCCAAG